GGCTGTCGGACCGCGGGCTGTGCTGGGTACGGACAGGTCGGGCAGCAGCGGGGACGACCCGAAGCAAAGGCGGTGGTCGGGGCGCAGCGGAGCAGTGGGTGGACTGGCGCTGAGGTGGAGGCCCGCAGCGATAATGACAAGCAAATCGTTCGTCGGGCTTGGGTATAGGGACGAAAGACTAATCGAACCGTCTAGTAGCTGGTTTCCTCCGGAAGTTCCCTCAGGGTGGCAGGGCCGCTGCGCTAAGGTGCCGAGCACTGCGCAGGCAACGACAGTTTGGGTAGTGGGTTGCGTCGTGCAGTAGCGAGCGGGCCAGGATACGTGCGGGGTACCAATGAGCCGACGGGCAGCATGGCGCTGTGCAATAGAGGGGCGGAAGGGTTGGCCAGGCAGCGCAGCGTTAGACAGCAGCCGACGGAGGAATAGCGCTGCGAGACTGGGCGCTGCAGTCGTGGTTAACGCAGGAGTGCCGAAGGCAGCAAGGCAACGGAGGAGCCGTAGGAAGGGGGGAAATGGACCTAGACAGGCAGTCGTGCTAGGTGCATTCAGAGGGCAACGGAGCTAGGAGTAGAGCAAGCAGCGGGCGGATGACCGGGAGCCAAGGCAGCACGGTGGCGGAAGTAGGAATAACCAGGGTGAACCTGGCCCGGACTTCCGCCCGGGTGCATTCGCGTGGAGATGGCGGAAGGGTGACCCAGGCGTTGTGGAGAAGGGGTAGCGCACTCGATTCCTAACGGAATCGAGCAGAAGGAGAGTCGAAATCGGGGTTCTGGAGGGCTGCGACCGCGACTATGAGGTCAGTTTAAGATGATAGTTAGTAAGATAAAAGAGACGAAGAAAAATGGGTGCGCGGGGATATCGGGACATGGCGGAGTTAGCATCGGGGAAGACTGAAGCTACGTCCGATTCATGATGGAATCGGGTGAGTTATAGTGCTAATCGGGGGTTCTCCATTATTGCGAGTACGATGGCGAATTCAAATCTAGGCTTAGTTCTAGTATGGAGTTAGTATAGGGAGTGTTAGTGAGAAAACCAGTGCGC